ATAATACAGGTTTGGAAGCTGCTTTCTTAATTAAAAAATAATTGATCATTATTAATTTTATAATATTGGTTGTAAAATATAGGTGGTATTTATATATTTACTTACATATAACTCATCCACGCAGTGTACTTTTTCATCTATTATATTTATACTAATCCAATTTTCTTCCGACTCCAAATATACTTCAAGCCAGAAATTTCTATAATTCTTGGTATTGTTAACATCATTTACTTCATCATCTGAAGACAATAACTTAGTTTCTTTTTTTATAGATGATCTTCTTACATTGCTTTTAGTTTTAGAAATAGTCTGTTTTTTTGAATGAGCAAATTCTTCTTCAGATTCATCATCTTTGGAAGAACTTTTATCCATTTCTTCAAAAGAATCTTCTTCTACAGCTTTGCTCTTTTGTTTGCTTCTTGTCGCGCGCATAGTAGTAATTTTCTCTTTCTTTGTCGATTTAGAATCTACAGGATTATCCTCATTTGATAATTTTATTTGTTTTCGAGATCTTAATTGTCTGGATATACTGTTGCTTATTGTTTTATTAGAATCCACTAATTTTTCTGTTTCATTTTGTTTAGCATTAGATTTTTTTGTTTGTTCCACATTACTTTTATCATTTATAGTTTCGTTAATAGTACTTGTACTCATTTTATTCTTAATGCTTTTGCTTCGTGTTGTTCTTTCACTTAGAACTTCAACAGCCCTTTTCCTTGCTTCCAATTGAGCATTTTTTCTGGCAGTCTCGCTATTCTCTGGGATTATTTTATTTTCTGTGGATGTTTTCTTTTCTGTCTTTTTACCTCTTTTCGTTTTAGTATTTTTTTCCGTCTTAATTTTCTCTTCTTTTTTGATAGGTTTATCAGAATTCTTGTTATCTATGTCTTTTTTTTCTTTTGGTTTAGAAGTAAACAATTGACTCCGTTGTAATTTTAATGGTGGCGGTTGAAGAGATATAATTAAACGACAATTTAATCCTATTGCCCTGAGCATTGCTATACATAAGAATATTAATTCTTTATAATTAAAAACTTCTTTCTCCTTTAATCTTTTCAACAACATATCTTTCGTTATACTTTCATCTTTTTCTTCTTTTTCCTTGAATACAAATTTCTTTTTAAACCATATGACAAATTTTTCTATATATTTCAAATCAGACCTTTTTTTAGGTAAATTTTCAGTTGGAATAAGGGACAACGATGCAGACATTATTTCTGCATCGTTAATCACTTTATTCACATGGAACCCATGTGCAAACCAACAAAGTATTCCTACTTTGTGTATCAATACTTGATTAGCCCTTAACCGTTGATTAATCCGATTTTCAATAATTGTATTTAAATCTGGACCATTCCTCTTTTTTTTAAATATTACAGCAGTACCAGGTAACGTTATTTTTACTCCTTCTTTTGGAGTAGTATAATTAGCAGAACTAGCTACATCATTTAATTTTTCATCTTCGCTGTTATCTTCGTTACCATCCGACTCAAATGTTTTACCTTCTCCTTCAAACAAAAGATCATGCACGTGTTGAGAAAGATGATTTTTATCATCCTCAGAGCGTATAACTTTCGTTTTCTTTTGTTTTGTTGATACATCAATGGTAGTTTCATTTTTTTCAGAATTTTGTTCACTTTGCGAACAAATAGCTTGGGTGTTTTCCAAATTTTTTAATACCTGGCTAAATAGTTCAACAGAATTGGTATCATTGACGTTGCTGAATTCATCGCTATCGTCGGAATTTTCACAATTGCCGGCTTTGCGTAATGTTACGTTAGTCTTTTTCCCTTTCTTATTAAAAAAACCCGAATCTAAATCAATTTCCTTCGGAGATACAAAAAACTCACTTTCACTTTCCGAACTATTATCGTCTGTTTGATTACTCATCTTGGGTAAAGTAAATTGTAAATATCAACATATCATTTTACTCAAAGACGAAAAACACGACAAAGAAAATGTACACAAACAACACATGCATTTTCGATTGATTCTAGATGAGGGTACACGATCTCTCTAACTATTGTTCTTCATGGAAGATAAAGAAATCTAGGAACAATATAATTATGATAATATAAATGTGTATTACGTATACTTTTTATTTTTATCTTATAAACATAGATTACTAAACTCTTATATAAGTACAAACAAATTTATTAAATAATATTAATGAATAAAATTTAAGTTAGACGCCATTTCTTAGCTTTGATACATTTGATGTTCATTGGTCGATTTCACTTTTAGTGTCAGCGTCATCTATGTTGAATTTTGCGCGAGATTTGAAAGTTTTATCTATTTTCTTGGAAATTCAATAATCAAAATGGCGAGATCGAAAAAGGATAACAACTATATAAAACTTATATAAATATTTAATTAAGTTTCAGATTAAATTTAAAAATACTACGAATATTTATGAAAAATATATACATCAAAACGATTAACATTAAATATAATATAAAAAGATACAAAAATAGATTTTGATGTTTTTTAAAGTTAAATAAACATTGATTAATTGCCACGCGTATTTATTTATATATTTCTTTTAATTTCTGTTACACACATTATTAATCTATATTATAATTAATAATCATTGTCAGATATCTGTATATTTAGACGTTTTAGAAACATCTCAGATATTTAAGATAGAGATGAGGTAATCAGAAGAATCGATAGAAAAAAATTTCTTTCAATTTATAATCCTTTTTTAAGTATGTCATTCGAAAATATTATATAATTATACATATACATATACATTTATACATGTACATACATATACACATTCATACGCATATTCGTCAGGAATGAAGTCATTGTTTTATTTATATATTTCTAATTGCGTAGAGAAATGAAAGAGTTTTGTAAAAGGCCGTTTAATAAAACGGATATTAATTTGTGCGAATATTTGTTATTCGGTTAAAAGATATAATCAATTTCTTACATTGCAGAAAAAAAGTAATGTCAGTCTATAAAGTATGAAAGTCAGTGGAAACATTATTGAGAATAATGACGTATAAAATCGATAGTAATCAACAATGGTATCGTAAAGGAAAATATTGATAAAAAAATTCGTGGCTCATGCATTAATTGATTTTTCATTTAACAATTATTTATATATACAATTTTTAGCTGGATTGAAAAGTTTGATGCCTAGAAAAAACAATTTTCTCTTTCGCTTTTAAGTTTACTTTTATTTAAAAAAAAAAATAATTTTGTTTGTCAAGGCTCACAAATAAGGAGTTCGTATATATGGTGTCCTGTATATGAACAAATTTGATTCTACGTTTTCCACTTATTGTTAGTTTTCCACGTTGCTTGTTTGTACCACCAATTACAGGACACCTTGTATATTATATAAAAAAACCTATCATATATATACATGAAAGTTAGCGGTAAGAATTGTCAGTATGGATGTACAATGTAGTTGTATTCAAGGATTTATACGTTTCAAGAAGATAAGTTAGGACTTACGAAATAACAGTACTTTCAGGAACAAAGCGCAAGAGGAGGAAGATCGTGCTAGATAAAATCTCATCTTTTTCCACTAACAATCATGCCTAGATATGGTAAACCAATTTGTGCGCTGGAGAAACAATTGATATGAGCGAAGAGAAGCTAATTACTGTCATGGTCGCAATATGATACTGTGAACATAAGCATGGATGGATAGTATAGTATACACCTACATATATATACGTACACACATAACATAATCAATGATTATGGATAAATAAAAAAAAAAAAAAAAAAAAAAAAAAAAAAAAAATAATGTAACAATATGAGATTACATGTTGTTATACAATTTCGGTCGTTACGTATTATTGTTTCGCGTATTCAAATAAAAAATGCACGCGATTATAAGTGCATACATAAAAAAAAAAAAAAAAAAAAAAAAAAAGATAAGAAAAACCGATTAATTCAAGAGAAATCCTTGACCAATTAGAATGACATTCATATTAATTCATATATTCCTAAGATTTCGTATTCTTATACTCCATTTCGGTATCCCTGTTTCCTCCGATCTCCTTTAACTCTCTCTTACTCGTTTTCTTTCTCCACACACTTTCCGCTAACTCTTGTCGCTCCTTGTATTTTCACTTTTACCAGAGCTCCTTCGAACCTCCTTATTCAGCGCAATAGATTGATTAAATGGGAACTAGTAAAAGTTAAATTACGAAATGTGATAAAGATACGAGCGGTGGTTCCCTTCCGATTTTATTTTAACGAGATTACTTTAATTAACCTTCTCGTCGTTAAAACAAAAAAATTTACGCTTTTAATGATTTTAATTGTAACATTTAAGAAAAAACAAAAAGGAAAAAAAAATAGATGAAATTCCATCCCAATAATTACTTAACCTTGGACAAAGATGAGAGTGTTTAATATTTCATAACAATACGTTATTAAACGAGTCAACCATTGGTACAAATTGTACGATTATACGACGTGCTTTCTCTCTGTTCAATTTTTTCCAGAGTTACAAGTTGAGAAAGTCATGCGACGGAAGAGTTATAATTATCCATCCCCGGAGAAAAATATGCTGATTTAGCCAATCCCATGATGTGCGCATCTATGGTATTGGCAAAGCTAACATAAGATCGATTAATTTCTCGTGTATCTTTTTAAAAACGATTACCTACGTCTTTCTAACGATCACCTTGTTTCGCATTACAGAAAAACGCACGATTATCTGATAAATACTAGGAACAAAACTGTGGGAACAATGCAACCCTTTCGAAGAAGAACATGTAAATGAATGTTTAAACATTCGTATAGAAACATTTTCGTTCGAAAAAACGATATTGAATCGAATCAAAGTAAATAGATGATTATTTTGCTTCGACAGAAAGAGATAGGAATAATTTTATAGGTGAAACAAGCTGTATATGTTTATCCGTTTCTTGTTGGAAGTACTGGACCAATACGGGAGACGCTGTAAAACCGTTGTCGTCGTACGATCACCGTTTGCCGTTTCTGTTAGGCTGCATGAAGTGAAAGCCCATGATCGGGGCTGGAGTAGAATGTAAAGAAGCCGGCGGGGTTAGCGAAGAGAGGGAAACCGCTTTACCATCCAGTCACTCCAAGGCGAGCTCTAAAGAATGTCGAGTGTTGTGAATCGCGACAACATCGAATTATAGTTGTGAGTTTACTCAGACTCGAATTCGTCTCACGCTACTACTACTACCACCACCACCCTGAGAGATAGATCCTACGCCAACAAACGTTGGGTATGTAACTGCACATAACATTAGATTTGATCTTTATTTATCATTAACATAAGTTATTTTTCATTTATTAACCCGCCAAAAATGTTTGAATTTTACATTTGTTATTACAGAGTCATTGGTCACATTTCTTTAATTTCTTTGATCGATGTGATTGTTATTTAACAAAAAATATTTAATTAACAAAAATAATTTACCTTTTTAATTTTTCTTTTCTTTCTTTCCTTTTTTTTCTAATCGTCGTCACAAATATTTGCTTATTTTTTCTAATTTTTTTATGCGCGATGTAGACACATATGTATACGCACAGATATACATACTCACACACATATATGTGCAATTCATGCAAAGTATCAGAATTTTTGACGGTTTATAATAACGATGACGAATTATGTATCTATAGATATACAATATCATTACATTTGTCCATACAAGGATTTTACTTTATGTCCTCTAATTAGAAATTCAGTTGACGAAAAAAAAAAACCCACCGCAATGTGTCTTACAATGGTAAAGAATTAAACTCATTGGTATTCGGCCAAAATCTTGACATACGTTTAGAATATTTAATCGTGATTACGCTTTGTTTCGAGTCTTGTGTTATATTACTTCAGAATCATCCGACGAACAATAATAAATAATAAATATTTAATCAAAAAGAAGCAACTTTCGCGCGTGGTCCAGACCCATCGTATTTTTTTTTCTCGGGGCCCTATTTTCGTCCCACTGACCCCGTTTTCTTATTTTTCTTTCTCTTTTGACAAAAAAAAACAAAAATTTATCATACACACGCGATGGATCATCAACAATGATCCATGATCTCTCACAAACTTTCGACTCATACTTGTTACAAAACAATAGTAAAAAAAACATAAGACATGAAATATTTCAAGTACGTAGAAAACGTAGAAAAGAAACCTCTCTCTTTCTCTTCATTACATTTCATATTCAATGACGTATGTACATACATTTTTTCTCGGCTATTTTGAAAGAAACGGGGTTGGTGGTAGTGTTGTACCTTACAAAGTGACACACCTAACTCACGTCTTTTAAATAGTGATCGGTTATGCACGTGATCATTGAGAATAACGTGCGAACGAAAGGATCTTATGAAAGTGACGTTTTGTTGCAATCATATTATATATTCGATCATTCGATTTAGTTAAATCTTCTTTTTTTTTTTTTTCGAAAACGCAACGAACGAATCTTTAGAATGATCTTTAATCCTATTGAAATGGTTTTGAGTTGTTCGAAAGTTAGCTCTTTGAATTAGCATTTTTATTAATATGAAAGTAGTAAGGTATGATAGAAATAGTATTAATGAAATTCAGAATACGGATCTTCAAGTATAGAAATATGTCTGTCGTTGTATTATTCATTATCGATTTTTCACGATTGATAAATCTACAAGGACAAAAAGATTACGATAAACTAAAGATTAGATAGGACTAAAAATTTATTTTGAACGATTTTGTTTTCTCCAATATTATCGGGTTCAATGGACACATAATAAAAGCACGTTGCATGGGACCGGTCACGTATTCGGAATATGCGGAAATTTTCCGATAAAGGAGAATCAAACGATGCACATTACTTTCACACTCGAAAAGTTGTCGACCCTGAGGGATAAGAGTGTGTTAGTCTCGATGAATAATAATAATAATAATAATAATAATAAAAAAAGAAAAAGAAAAGATAAAAAAACTTTACGAAGTTTCATTATCGACCTATCATTCTTATTTCTCTCCTTTTTTCTTGCCTTCGAGGATATCAAGTTTGGATACTCGTGGTGTGTGATCCTTAAAAACTCGAAAGGATCCTTTATAGTTTAGTTTGTCTTTTTGAAATAGTTTCGTTCCCTTTCTTTACAATTTATTTTTATCTCCTCTTTGAGAAATGTTGGAATATAACATTGTATTTGTTATTTAAAAATCAAATCTAGAAAGTAAATAAAATTACAGATATACATAGTTTCGTTATTCCCTATTTTTTTTTGTCACTTAAGGTGTGCAATTTCATTCCTCTAACTGTATCGGAGAAAGTGAATCATCCGCATTTACCGTATCGAGAGTTTGACTCTCTATAATATTAAGTATCATCTGAAACCGGATATAATATGTATATATCCGTGTATGACATCAAGGTCTATTAAATTATTTTAATAGGATCATTTTGCTAATTTTGTAAATGGGTTAATAATTTATGCATGTATACCAAATCGACGCTAGGAATGGTTTATACTATGAAAATATAAGTTAAGAAGAATGTAATCTTATCTATGAGCTATTATTCACATTCCAATTTGAATATCATGAACATTAGAATAACTAATTCGGTTATTGGTTCGTTTTCATTGGTATTATATCACATAAATATACTTACACGCATACATAACATAGTTAATTAGTTGTATCTTCTATCACGTTACAGGGAATCATCATCATCATCACCCATCTACTTGCCAATTGTACTCTTCATTCACACAGCTTTCTATTCTCATAGTCTCTTCTTAATACTTAAAATATATCACGCAGAAATATTTACTGTTAGTCCTTATATAAGAAGTATTTTCTCATTAGTATCCACTAAAATCACCTTTTTTGCAAGTGGTCACGATCCACAATCTCTTAATTGTCTAGCATTGAGATTTATCCAATTTGGTAAGAATTTTGATAGAAAATTATTTAACTAATTCGCGTTGTTTAAACCTATTTTACCTATTTTACCTATTATTCGTTAATGTTTCACAACGAAGCTCAACTAATACACTTCCGACTATCTAATTCTACTAGGAAGTAAACGTACTTTTTCAATCACTGTTGAATTTGAAGTCTAATAGAGATTAGGATCTCACATCCGCGTAGCAGAACGGCCGATAAAATCCAAGGGAAAGTGCATCTCCTTGTATCGACGCCTATGTGTTCATACATACATATATATATGTGTACGTCTGTGTACGTGTGTATTTATATATATATATAAGAAACTTACAATATACACGCCCGTTTACACTTATCCAATAATCCTAAATTGTTCATCGTTACGATTAAACCATCGACTTAACCCATTTTACATTACACACTCGATGAGCCCGTTAAAAACTACGCAACTAGGAGAAACTAAGCATTTTTCTAAGTAAATGAAGTCAGTATTACGAAACTAACGGTTGCCCCAAAAAATTATTTCTTTTTCTAGATATCCGTTCACTTTCATAAAATTAATTAATCCTTTTTTTTTCTTTTTGTTTCAATTACCTTTTTATATACTTATATATATCACAAAATTATTAAATTCTCTCGTAATTCGATTTGTCATCAAGTTCAAAAGGATAAATTAATGAAAATGTTCCTTTTGCTCGTTGTTAGGGTAAAATATTTATTCGATAGAAGAACATTCGTCTTAGAGCGTGTTACAGTTTGATTTCCTGTTAAAGTAAAGGAAGGAATAGAAGAAAATATATAGGGAAAAAAGCTTAATTATATTCGTTTCTTTCTGCACCAACGAGTTTTCCATTACCGTTTCAGCTTCCAATACTTACATTAGAGCAAGTCCATTTGGTGGTCTATAACTATCGCTATTGCTAAATCAACATTCCTCGACATGAACGTTCGTTCGCTCTCTTCTAGCAATCTTAAGAGTTCCTCACGTGCGCGCATTCGCATCCAACAACGTTCGTTCTTAGCCGGTAAATAAAGTAAGGAAACCGGCAAACAAGATACCCGATTCCATCATGGCAATCCCGTTTTACAGAGAGATATCGTGCGTTAGACCGTGCGAAGTTACGTTCACTATAGCCCTATACTACTGCAATACTTTTATATACCACCCGTGATCGTAGAAAAGTATTTAGTGCACTTTTGCGAGCGCGTGTATTGTGTGTGTCTTTATCTCTCTCTTTCTTTTCTATAACACATTGAAACTTTTCTATAATACATTATTGAACGACTCTCAACCTCGCTTTCGAGGAATGTGATCCTAACGTGATAACATGTTAGTACATTACCTTTTTAAGTTACGCTTCAATGAATTCGAAATTATTTCAATGATAATATTTAGATGTATTTTATATATATATATATATATATATATATATATATATATATGTGTGTATATAATTATATGCATAGGTTCGTATGCAGATGGTTCATCCTGTTTAGCAGGTTTACCAAACAACATTTCTTCAAAGCTATCCGAGTTATCCTGATATCAAGGACGTCTTTAGTACTTGATTCTTTCATTTTCTCTCGAAATATATAGATCATGATTGTTATATATCATCAGATAAGGGATAACGATCATACGTGAAGATGTTTTTTAATATCTTTGTTAATTTAAAGTTCAAATTAAAATGAATTTATTAGATATTACTTCAAAATATGTTTCTTTTTCTTTAAATCTTATATATAAAGTTTTGTGTATAACAATATTTTCTATTTTATGATATTTTATTGATTGTTAGTTGTGTGCATAGGTGTCTGGAAGAAGAGCCAATGTTACATATATCAAACTCGTAACATACGTAACAACATAAGCCTTTTTTCCAGGTACTCATTCTTATATACAATCCATTTTGTTCTATTTTCTTTTTTCTATAACATATAATATTGGATAATATTAAAATTCATTAAATTAAATATAAAATACAAAATATATTATGGATGTATAAAAATTATTTATATTAGAAAGAAACGAGTAAGAAACTTTTAAAAAGATCTAATATAATAATGGTATTTGAAATCATTAGATTTTTTTCTTTCTCAATTGATTGATCTTGATTGATCTTGATTGATAGATTTTACATAAATGAATGATCTTGTTGTATAGTTAAGGATTGAGAATACATATATATATATATATATATGCAGAAATTCTTATAACTCTTGTGTTTCTGACGTTTCTTCTTCCATCGTAAATACTTACATATGTAAGTATTATCGTGATTTTTCTCACGAGTAGTCTTGCCTTTCGTGGGATACACGTATATATATATACATATATATTGTATTTTATATACCTACCAATGCAATTTCAGTATTGCGCGACGATGCTTGCGCGATGGTATTTGCGCGATGATAATTGTACGATGATAATTGTGTTATGGGATTCACACGACCCGGTAATATGCGTGGATGAAAACTTTTGATATTCGTTATTTTTTTTTGTGTTTTTATTTTATTTACATCTTATCCACACGATCTTTCTTATATTCCCTGACTCGATAAACGCTTTGATCTTATATTACACTAGTATTACTATTGTTATGTTATGGTTCGGTAATTTTATGTAATTACGTTACAATATATGTTATTATAGTTAGATAAATTAGTTGCAAGATTGCTATTATTATACGATTTATTTTAAATCGTGAAATTGATTTTTTAATATATGAATATTTTTTTCATTATTTTTTAGATAATATTTGAGAAATAAAATTAAATATTATGCTAGTATTGAGTAAATATTCAAGCAGAAACACGTTATCATTATTTGTTTTAACACTGATACGTTGTTTTGTAATTGACTTTCTAGTATTATATATTATATGTGTGATTTTTTATTTGTTAAATGTTATACTTAGGAAACGAATATTATATTATTATTAAATATATATTTAAATAGAAAATTAACCATAGTTTGGTATTTATTTTAATTTACTTTTTAATAATACGTAATTTTTTAATATTTCTTTTTTTTAGAAATACTTAGGAAACACAGATATTATCATAGTTTAGTTTAATGTTAATATTTTGTAATTCTTTGATTAGATGTATTTCAAAATTAACAACTTATTTACATTTTAAAGTAATTAGAAATAATATTGCATACATGTATAATCGTTTAAAAACATATAAAAATAGTATATATAATATTATAATTAGACAATATTGCACATATCTCTTATTATACAAAATTTAAAAGGGATATAAATAATTATTATCATTATTGTTATATCATTATTTAACCTAGAAAGAAACTGGTATCGAACGTTAATTTTCTCAACTGTCCACTTTTCTTTCCTAACATAAAAATCTTAATATGTATTTCTTGCTACTTTTCACTTTACCTTGCGGTCTCCTCGTGCACGCGACAAATCCTACCTGCACGTGACTTCGACTCAAAACTCGAACAGCCGGAATGAATGAAGCAATACTTCTGTATAATTATGGATTATGGGCTTTAAGTTCAGGGTTTCTCTAGTATTTCGATGTTTAATCGTGGAATCTTCGAAATTTATTCATTCCTCGAAGTCAATGAACTTAAACTCGTAGGTATATTTTTAGTATAAATCGTAAGAAGTCACGAAATTTTCAAGAATTTAAGATTTACGATGATAAAACTATTTTTTTTGATCGCAAAAATTCATGATTTTTCCAACTTTTTATAAGACCTATAACGATTCGAAAGGATCAACGAGGAAATAACTTTGTATATTTTAATTACTTCGATGAAAAAATAATTTCTTCCAAATTAACGAATTGTCATATAATTAAATTTATATTAGATAGAATTATTCATACACTTTTATTTTTCTTTTTCTTTTTTTTTTTTTTTTTTTTTTTTTTAATCATAGATTTAATAACAACCAACGTAATTCGCATCCCGTTACGTTCGATCCTGCTTGAATATTAATTATAAGCTTTTGTTAGAAGGTGAGCTATCTCACTCGGGGATAAATTTAAATAGCAATGAGAAATGATAAAATTCCGTCGTCACCGTTATACGATCATTTTCGTCGACTTTCAAAATTAAAAAAAAGTTTAACGAAACGGAAAGAAGTCCTTTCCTATAGGATTTCAATGATGAATTTCGTAAGAACGGAAATACAACAAGTTTCAATGACTTTGTGATGATTTAAACGAGCATAATAAATCTTTGTGTTTCAGATTTGCCGATTAACATATTTAGACGGATGACGTAAACCAAAACAATGAAGCTGAGACACCTAATATCCATAATATTCACTTACGGTAAGTATAATTAATTGTTTTTCTTTTTTCTTATTCTTACAAAAACAACTGCTAATTGATCATTAGTTTAACCCTGACCAAGATGTAATTTCAAATCGAATAGAAAAATTTTATTTCCTGAAAGGAATGTGAATGTTCGTGAGATGTTATTGTTTAAATTAACATAAAATTATCGTCAATGAAATCAAAGAAAAACTTCAAAGGGATGAAAGTTTATCATTTTGAGATTAATTTATAATTAAATATAATTTCAAATCATTTTTATTAACTTAAATAATATTATTATTTATAAATTATGGAAAAATATTTTAATACAAGTTTTTTTTATTCGTTCGCTTCCAGTTGTTGTCTATTCGGGACAAATTTATAGCGTTAATTCGGCGGATCCTGCGGTTGGAAAGATTGATTTTACGACACAGACGGTTTACGGATTCTTGGATTTTACTACAACGATCGGAAATACAGTTATGGTGTTCAGTCCTCAAAGTTCACCACCAGGTTAATACTACGATAGATATATTTATATTATTATCACAATTTTGACTTTATTTTATTATAATTGTTGATTGTTTTATAGAAGGAGAAAAACCAAAAAGTAGTGGGCCTCCGATACAAACGAAACCTATCGAGAAAAAGCCCATTCCAGATATTCAACCAAGTAAAACCCATAAACCAAGCAATCAAGGAGGAGAAACGAAAAAGCAGGGACAGAAAAATTCGAAAGTCGTAGTGAATTCAGTGGTAGAGCAAAACGTTATCAATCCAACCGAAGATAAACAGAAGCAAGTGGTTAAAAGCCAAGTGGTAATAACAATTTTAACGAAATTTCAACGTATAAAATATCCACAAGAGAATCCCCTCAAAAAAATATAATATTACGTTTTAGACCTCGCATTCTTCTGTGAAAGCCACTACGGTGAATCCCGTAACTTCTTCCATCGTTCAAGTCAAGTCAAAGGAAGAATTTCCAGGTGTAAAAAATAATCTTGCTGAACCTGAATATGACTACTTATCGAAACAGCCAACTGAAGTCATCGATGAAACGTACAAGGTATAAAACTTATCTTCATTAACATATTTCTATCATTTGCCAATCATTGATAATTAATCCTACGAGCTGTTATTATACACACACACACACACGCGCGCGTACATAATATCCATGCATTTCAGTTGATCAATCTGAAACCTACGAGTAAAATTGCTTCGAAACCAAGATCAGCGACACGAAGGGAAAAAGAGAATCCAACTGGTTTGGTAACTAAACTCGGTGGTACAATTGTCAAAGACGGATTGACGACGGTTCACGAAACTAGCGTAATTGGCACGTACATAAATGGAAAGTACGCTCAAGTTTTACAAAGTTCGTCGCGCATTATCGTCGGGACATCCTCGAATTTGGAGGGCAAAATACGACCGTCGAATACTCTCAGAATATTAAAGACGATCGGTCCGCAACACGGAAAGTTAAAGCCGCAGTTGGAGCCTACTCCGACAAGTCAGCAAGAAGAATCGTCCTTGCCATTGGAAATTCTATTCAGCGCACCGGCAGGTTGTTTATCTCCTTTACGAGCATATAAATTAATGTTGGAAGTGTTCGTTTGACTGGGGACTAGTTAAAAAAAGAAAAAAAAACAAGAAATAATAAAATAGAATTTTTTTTGTTTTTCCTCATATCAGGTTCTTCCGTACGAACAACACGAAGACATTCGACCGTTAATACTAACCGTCCGAAATATCGTAGTAAAACTTTGGAAGATTATGATAACGCTGAGGTCCAAGCTAGGGCATCTACAAAACAACGTCCTACCACCGCTCGGCCAAATTACAAGTATATAAATAAATTATACGACGACACTGATCGTTAGAGAATAGTTAAATTTCTTTTGTAAATGTCACGTTACGTAGATCATTCCAATCATTGGGAAACTCTTGAAACCTTTCTCTTCAATTCACGTTTATTTCATATTATAGAAATCGTGTCCAGAATGAAGGGAAGTCATCAACCACGACACAAGAACCACAAACGACTCGTCGTCGTACCAGCTTCAGACCAAGTAATCAGTCAAATTCTTCCTCGAGGCAAACTAATAAACAGAAAAATCAACAATCACAGCAGCAACAGCAACAGCAGCAGCAACAACAACAACAACAACAGCAACAGACTACATCAACGAGTTCCTTGCCTAAATTAAAACTTCCAAGAACTCAGGGTCGATGGTCGTATAAAACTACTCCTAAACCAAGAATCGCGATTCGCAAACAAATAGACGATGATGATCAACGTGTATCAACCGAAACGGTTATATCTGAACAGGGATTAACATCAGGCGATGATAAAGCAACAACTACTTCCGTTGGAGTTGTTACAACAACAACAACTACAGCTACAACGTCTAATGGCCAACGAAAAATTCCAGAAAATTCATTATCCAACGAGGAACTCGATCCAAGCGAATCGGAAGATGTGCCTAACGTAAGCGTGCACGACCAAATACACGCGGATCAAACTTTACCGATAGAAACTCTTAACGTTGAGATTTCAACAGCCGCCAATCTCAACGACGTTTATTTTGAAATAGCTACGATTAAATCTCCTTACACGTTCCAGGTGAGCTTGATTTAATTAAAAGTAAATGATGATTTAATTATATGACACAATATACAAAAATTATCGTTAAAATCATCCTCTTTTATTCTAGGTGGGAACTTTACGAAACACGCGTTACATAACAGTTACGTCTACAATGAAGAAGTCGTTTGCAGTTCCTGAACCTACGAGTACTTTACCAATGACGGAACCTCTGACTGAGAATATCTTGGCAAACACAGGAGCTGCTTACGAAACTACTCTACCACTTGATTCCTCCGTAGCTACTCTTCCAGCGATATCTTTAGATCCTGGTCAAGTAACACCACCTTTGGAAACGCTTACGGAAACATTTTCGACGACTCAGACTCTCCTGAAAACTCATTTGTTACCGGTGATACACGATGGCAATACCACGAAATTGACTCTCGTTCAGACCTACAACATAGCTCGATCGGTTACCGCTATCAAAACTCTACCACCGATGGAAATTTATCAATTTATTCCTAGTAAGACATTGAACGAATTTAACTCGAAATTGGAGGAGGCTGGAAGCGAGCTTCACTTGGAATTAGATTTCGGTGACGAAGACAGAGACGACGAAGATATTCCTAAAAGAATCGTAGCACCTAGCAGCGACGTATACTCCGAATTAGATCTCTTCAGATCGGGAACACCAACAAAGGTAAAATCCGACGCACATAGTACGAATTCCGTCGAGCCACAACTTTCTTTCGAACAAGCTCAGCAACTTGCTTTGCTCAAATATTTCGGTCAACCACAGCAACAAGTAATCACGACTTCGAGACCTGTCGTAGTGCTAGAAACCGTTTACGAATCTCACGTAATACCGATAGTTAATAACGGCAACACGCATTACTCGACTTTATCCAGACCAGTAGCTACCGTACCAAGGACATCCTACGAATACTCGACATCTACCATTCCACCTGTTCTTCCACCTCCGATACCTCAAGTACCGCTCTTTCCACAACAGCAACAACCCCAATTTACAGTGACAAGTGCACCACTTGTCACGCAAACTTTAGTGACAGTGTCTGACTCAAGAGTGCTCAAACTAATGTTCGGAGCAAAAACGGCGTACACAACATTATTTTCTACTAAAGTAGTACCGACAGAACTTACAACCTACGTGACTAGTACCATACCTTTACAGCCAACTATTCCAGCTTTCCCTGGATATTATCCTCCACCAGTTGGCTATCCTCCTTTCCCTTATGTGGGTTAATAATCTTTTGATTTATTCTATGGAATTGCTAAGAGGAAGCTTAAATTACACTTTGGTTACGTAGATGTATGTTAAAATTAACTTTTATAGTACTCATCTACATGACTTTTTTCAAACAGCATACATTTACTACCTCAGATAAAGGTGCTATTAAATATCAGCTTCCTACAAAAATTATACGAGTCACAAACGAGTTACAATTGCTCTAGATCCAACATCTCATATTTAATACGAAAAAGATCGTTTCATTGTTCGCTCAAATTGTTTAATGAAAAACAATGCATGTTCATATCGCCAATTTAATTATCCATAAAACGTAACACTATGACATATCGAATATTTTTATTTATATGTTCGATGAAAAATTGAATTATAATTGGAAGAAAAAGAATAAGAGAGAGTCGATTCTGAGGAAAAAATTAACCAGATCATAGATAAATATCTTGTAAATCAGTACAAAAACGAAGAAATGACTTAATGGACATATTCTTCTTACGATATCAGGTATTAAGAAAAATCATATGTACAATTAACAATTTAATTGTACACATTCTTATATACAATTAAACACGCGTATATAATTTTGTATGTCCCGTTGGTACAGAAAGAAATTTTTGTAAATAAGTTATTTTAAATATATTTTATCTCTCCGTGTATTATTATTATTATTATTATTATTATTATTATTTTATGTATGTACGTATTACGAATTTTGTAAATAAAGTATAAAAATCACTTACGATTTTTCTTTTGATATTATTTCGTTTTTAATGAAAACTTCCATTAATATTTTCCAATAATTGAGATGATCACAAGAAAGAAGTTTGTAATAAAAATTTTAGAGGAAATTTAAGATCGTTCCTTCAAATGATATTTGAACAGCCAATGTAAATCTTCGACGCTCTACTAAGTACGACAAAAATGATCCAGGATTGGTCGGCATCTACGGTATTCTATAATATTCAATATAAGACATATTCTTTCACGAAAAGATATTTTTGAAGAAAATAAAACAACGATAACATTTTGTAATACATAAAAAAAATCTAAATTTCACATATAATTCATGGAATAAATATATAGTTGCTAAGATATATTATTTCGTCTTAATTTTTTATAATTACGTTTGAAAACATGCATTGTATTTATCTTGTGCTTGCAAGATAAAGATACAGGAAAGATAAGAACAATTATTCACAAGGAGGATCATATTGACGAATCAAAAAGAATTTTTAAAAAAATCAACGATTGGCCAAGAAACTTCGAAAAAAAATTGTTTCTCATTTATTTCTATTTTTCTTTTTATTATCGCAGTGCAAAAAAATAATTATATCATTAATTTCAACTGTTATTCAATTACCGGAAGTTTTCTTCGTTTTATTTCCCGCCAAAGTCCACCAAAGGCTATGTGTGAATATTGTTTATAGTTTCATGTGCGGTTTTACTATTTCATTAGAAACTAAGGTGAAATTAATTGCGTTGTTGAGAAGGATTCGACGATATTATTAATTGTTGATTAAACGAACATAATCGATAAGTTAATCTTTGCTTTGTTAATATTTTTACGAAAATTCTACGATGGCAAAGGTACAGCTTGCAAATGTTGCGGTTCTCGACAATCCTTCACCGTTTCTAAATCCTTTTCAATTCGAAGTAACCTTTGAATGTATTGAGGATTTGAAAGAAGGTATTATTCATATTATATTTAACTTATTTACATCTTCTATATCATCTATGATAATCGATTAATTTAAGTAAATACGTCTTAAATCTATGCATTTTTGTGAACGATAGGTTAGCTTCTTCATTTTGGTAATATTTTTCTCCATAATAATATTCAATTCTGTATTTAACATCCAAGTACATACAATGTTTCATTCGATTATTGTATTAATGTCTTATCACTTAATATTTTTGTTTTTACTATCTATGAATTTTAATTTAATATTTGACATTTGAAAATACATTTGATACAAATAATATCATTGTAGATTTAGAATGGAAAATGATCTACGTTGGCAGCGCAGAGTCAGAGGAGTTTGATCAAGTCTTAGATACCATATACGTTGGACCAATTCCAGAAGGACGACATATGTTTGTCTTTCAAGTAAATATCTTATGTCGATGTTGTATTATTTCTATTATTATTCTACTAATTATTAATTTATTCTTTCTTCAGGCTGATCCTCCTGATGTCAGTAGAATTCCTGTGAATGATGCATTAGGTGTTACCGTAGTACTCTTAACATGCTCTTATAGAGGCCATGAATTTGTGCGTGTTGGTTATTTCATAAACAACGAGTATATGGATCCTGAACTGAGAGAAAATCCTCCTCCGCAACCACAGTTTGACAAAGTGCAAAGAAATATCTTGGGTGATAAGCCACGTGTTACAAGATTTAAAATCAATTGGGATGACGGTGCAAGTTCTACAGAAAATAGTGTGCCGGAAGGTATGGAAGCACCTAACCTGGAAGAAACCTCCCAAGACGCTCCAACATCTACAATGGGTTTCACAGAAAATCCACAAAATAGCATGGAAGTGATGTAAACATATTTTTATCTACTAATAAGAAAGATAATTCAATTGTCTCTCTGACTTACTAAAATATCTAAGTGCTACCTGAGAAGAAAGAAAAAAACGAAAAGCAGAAAAAAAAGGAAAACAATAACAACAAAGCTCTTTCACATATTTAAATAATTTAAGGAAACAAGCAAAATACTTTTTTTGAAACGCCAGTTAATATCAGAAGCATACTTATGAGATGCTAGATGATATTATGTAAAAAAAATGCAGTAGTATCTTAAATCATTGATATGCTTGTATCATTCAATTGTTAAATAATTGCTCGATTCAAGGTTTGGTTTTCATAGATCTGTCTAATCCTTTGTGCAAAATTAGATATTGATGATTTGTTCAAAATAATTTTATTTTAATCTATATAGTATTTTGTGAAATTAGAAAAATAGATTTAATCTCACTTAATTTTAACAAATCGATTAAACGTTCGAAAATTTAAATGAGGAGAGAAAAAGAAAAACAATGGTGTATATTATAAGATAGAAGTTATTTTCCAAATAAAAGGGTAAAAAATTAAAAAAAAAATAGTTTGTTAGAATGTATGATGTAACATCGGATATCTAAGAATCAATATAATATTTATTTAAAACACAAATTAATTATCTTCAATAGTACGCTTTAGCAAATCATTGTTTTTCATGTATGTACTTCTATGCGATGTGTACTGTTAATGGGTCGACTGCCATACAAGTCTATGTTTTACAATAGACATCACAATTCTAAGATAAAATATACACAATATCGTAACACTAGTTGCAGATGATCTTTGTGGGCTCATTGACGCAACAAATCCTGGGCACAGGTGACTGATATAGTCAATGTGTTAATATTAATAACATAGAAGTTCATAGTGCTTCATCATTTGATTTTAATATAAAACAGAATGCGAGATTTTCAACAAAACATTGAAATCTTTATAGAAAATGTAAACTGCTAACATTTATTAAATAATAATATAAAATTTGTATAAAAAATTGCACAAATTTTAGATTTAGCTGATGTATCGTTGGAAAAATTTGCAGCTTTATTTACATCATATTAACTGTGAAATCCGATGCTACGCTAGCTTAATAGGATATTAAAACTTCTATTTTACTAGTGTATATATTATGAAAAGTTGATGAAAAAAATACATAAAAAGTTTTCTACTTGAACAATGTCGTTCATTCTATTTACCTACAATTATAAACGTTGTGGAAAATAATTTATCATACGAAATAAAATTTGCAAATCAATCTTAGTCTATATTTAGTTTAAAATATATTTTTGTAATATAGCAAGTTTGTCGGCAAGTTTGATTTGAATGAAAACGATTAGACCTAGATGCTACGCATCTGCGCAGTTTATGGTCTTGGATCATCAAAGGTTCTAAGAACTAGCAAGAAGAATTAGAATTTGTATATTTTAACATATAAAAATTGCTTTAGTTTTGAAAATTAATATTTAAATAAATTGTAATGTTTACAATGGCCTTAGTGAAAAATTAGAAAAAATTAATTTTATGATTTACTTTTGATACTGATTACTTATATTAAGAGAACAAAATTGTAAGATGAATATTTGTTAATGCTTTCACTTATTTTATTGTCATAATTACCGCGGTACTTCTATATAACAATAGTATTGCTGTTAAAATCTTGGAGTGTAGATCGTATTAGTTTAGTGTTTCGTCGCGTGGTGTCGCATGGTCGATCGTGTACATAAATGTGAATCGTGCGTTATATGTGCAATACGAAATCAATATTAAACCAAGTTTTAGAGAGAGAGACGTGTGAGTTGCGCACGACATTAAAATCGAATAAATAGTCGTCTGCAGTAGCAGCCGAAGTGGACGTCTGCTGCAGACGTGATAACAGACAAGTATAATATCAGAAAGTGTTCCGACGATCGTCGTCGTCGTTGTCATAAATTTTTTTTCTTCTCCCTCCTTTTAATTCCACCCCTTATCGTAAACGTCGTTCGAGTTTACGTGTAAAGTTGGCTCGGAAGTTTTAGAATTTCCACCGATGATCGTCAAATCACGGACGGGGATTTCTGAAGGAGCCGTGTGGCGGCGAACAAAGCCGCCCTTACAAATTTAAAGAAGGAATGACGCTGGAGAATCCTTTCTTTGTCGTCAAAGAGTAAGTTTCATTTACAATTAAATGTCGTTCGATATTTACGATTAAAAAAAAAACAAAAAAAAACATTAGCAAAGTATGGCGCTCAGATTTGACAGCTACATGCAAATATAGAATATACCCCGTTCTTTTGTTTTAAGAAGAATCAATCGGATTATTTGAATATTCATTTGTCAAAATTAATCTCTTATCTCCGTTAAAAATAATTATTTTATCGGTATATATATATATTAATATACAGTCTAATATAGCATGCAAATGTTAGATATTCTTGTTAACGTTTGCAAGAAAAATGTGATGTTGTTTCTCGGTAAATAACTGCGATGTTTCACGGACCGTGACCACACGCTTAATGATTATGTACAATCGTGTTATTTGGAAACGTTGCTTTCAATACGATGTCAACAATCGATGACATCGATTACATACAAGTGTTTTTATGTTTGATTTATACTTAATAAAGAAAAAAAAAAGTATTTACGAATAAGAAACGATAATTCATAAAACATTGATCAATTTTTCGAATAAATTCAAATCGATTCGTAAGAGAATCGAATTATCGTTGTTAACAAAATTCGATAAAGTAATGAAAGATGAAATCTTTCAGTTTTACATTACGAAAGATTAATAATCTAAAGATAATTTTCGTATTATCGATTCATATAAAACCAAAAAAGAATCCACGGTTTAATTTATTTCAGCGAGGTTTGCAAGGCTCTAAATAAGAATCGAGGTTTATACGGCCGCTGGACGGAATTACAAAATGTCGTTACCAGTCCTACAATAAATGCTGGAGGGGGAATCCCGATTTCGCGCGAAGAATTGGATTGGACGACGACAGAGTTGCGAAAAGCTCTACGCTCAATCGAGTGGGATCTCGATGATCTAGAAGACACTATTTATATCCTTTAATTACTAACACAAACACACGCAATCGACATTATTTATATTGTTTTTTTTTTATTCATTTTAAAAGTTAGCAAAAGCAAATTCTAAAAATTGATTTGATAGAAAAAAGTGATTACTATTATTTATTTAAGTATTAATAGTATTTACTTTTTTACAAGAAAAATTTTAAAAAGAAATGTTTTTATTAACAAAAACTTTATTAATATTTTACTTATATGAGAAAATATATATTTTTAATATTAAAATCTATGTTTCATTTGACTCGCGCATTCGAAGATTATATTTAAATTTTCTTTATCGGCATGATCGATAAGACTGTGTATAAGTTTTGAATTACAATACAAGATTTTTATGATCTTTAACATATACAAATTTATACGTATAGTAGAGAAAAATCCAACGAAGTTTAAGATCGATAATAAGGAATTAAGCGTTCAACGAAGTTTTATTGAACAAACGCGTGAAGAAGTGAAGGTAAAATTATAAAATAACAAAATAAAGTTACTCTCTTCGAAATCTCTACACAAGTATGATGAAAGATGAAAAACATTTACCTTTTCTTTTTGTTATAGATTATGAAAGATAAGATGAATTTAAGTAGGGGCAGAGACCGTGATAGCACGGCCAGACAGGTACGTGTAATAATTCTTCAATCTATTTGATTTTAAAATCACAGTCATTTTCTTTTTTCTTTCGATAAAACATAATTGAGAATTATATTTTCATTAGTTTCATAAATATAGCTGTTTTGATTAGATATCCTATCAACGACGAAAAGATTATCGGCTTATCTTTATTGGAAAATGCAATTTTATAAATCGCAACTTGATGAAAATTATTTTTTATTCTTTGCATACATATTTTAAATATTTTTTATATTTTATCATAAAAATAACAAAAACAACGTATTATATCGGGCTATTCCAAAAGTAGCATTAAACATCTTCAATAAAAAATACTAGTATTTTTATTTATTATTAATTACTGAATTAGATAATTTTTGTTATTTCTTCCATTCGTAAACTTAAATATAATTTAGGTTATAAAATGTATATTTATAATTATTTGATAACAGAAAAGTGAAAGAAAAGTAAAATTAAATTTCATATTATTTTGAATAAATTCTATTATTTGAAATGCACCAATCAGTGATTAGATCGTACCGCGTATTTTGTTTGAACTTCCTATGAAATATAGTTAGATTATAATTGTTGTGATTGGTTCCACGATGTTCCTATATGTTACTATTTCATTATTATCTGAATCAGCTGTGATCAATACAAATAATTGTGCATGAAACGATGGCATGTGTCAATTTTATAAATTTATCGTTTATATTAGGATTAAGAACTAATCGTTAGGAAATATAATGAGTTTATGCGTATAATAAATAATTAATAATAAAAAACAACAGAATTAAATCCATTTACATATTTTTCTAAGAATTCAATAAAAATAGATTTATATTGTTATAAAACTTAATTAATTTTAATATCAATCGGGTAGAATAATTTTAAGTATATGTATTATGAGTTACGATAACGAAAAAATGGTTTACACGGTAAATGATAATTCATATTTGTATAAAAGTGTATATTATTTGTTTCTGATTTTAAAACGATAAATATACAACAATAATAATATTTTCATTAATCTTTCAGCCCCTTTTGGATAACAGTCCCGCTCGTGTTCCCGTCAATCATGCTTCGACTAAATATAGTAAGCTTGAAAATGAGACTGATAGTCCGAACAGACAATTTCTTGGGGATACGCTACAGCAACAAAATGATACGATGAGACAACAAGATGAACAATTAGAAATAATTGGTGAAAGTATTGGTACACTTAAAACGGTGTCTAAACAAATCAATTCGGAATTAGATGAACAAGCGATGTAAGCTTACAATATAATTTTATATATAATTGTTATACAATTATTTAGTTTTAATAACTCTATTATTAATGTTAATAAATGGTTTATATGAATTACAGTATGCTGGATGAATTTGGTAATGAATTAGAAACAACAGGCTTTAAGTTAGATGCGACAATGAAGAAAATGGCTAAAGTTCTCCACATGACTAACGGTAATTATAATAATTACATACCTGCCCCTACCACAGCTACATCTACTGTATCCGATCTTACCTCTAAACCTTCTTCTTTATCTTCTTTATCAACTACAATAACCAACTGCTTCTTATGTGCTGGAGATTAGATGTTTATCATCATTATTATTATTATTATAATACCATAATTATTCAGTAGAAAAATGGAAATATTTTTTTTCCATGAGTAACAATTATTTCAATCAGAAATCATATAGCTGAAAGTATTCAAAAGTAAATGCTGAAAAATTATGGAATTTTTCTTATCGAAAAAAACTGACCAATAATGTTATGATTTTTTGCAACATTCTGATATCTCTACTGCATATTATTATTATTATTATTAATCATAAAATAAGAAAACACCATTTTTATATTATTTTAAACAAAGTGAAATATTTATCTATTTTTGCACTCTCTTTTTAAGATTTATTTGGTTTAATATTTGCATTAGTAAGCAAGCAAGCAAGCTTATATTAATTTCATCATTATTCTTTTTTAATTTGATATTATTTTCAATGTATAGTATTGTATGCTCAATATCCTCTGTTTGGTGTTAATAGTAACTATATCGTGATTGTTATACTATATATGCAAGATATAGGATATTAATATACCCATAATACTCATATTAATACGATTTTTTAAAAATAAGTCAATAATGTAGAGAAAATTACTTGAGACGGTTAATTTATATTGCAATTTCTCGGATATAATGAATTTTCTTTTATATTATATTATTGTTGTTAGAAAATATGAAACGTAGAGTTAGATATTCGTATTAGGGAAGAGTATCTATTTTTTTTCCTTGAATTTATTAAGTTCCTATATAAAAACAAATAAATATATATATATACAGAGTGTTTCAAAATATTCAGGTATAATTTTAGGGATAGTTTCAGTACACTAAAATAAGAAAAAAGTTCATATAATTATATACTCGAGTGTATAAATTTTTTATTCTTATTTTAGTGTATAGAAACCATTCCTGAAGTTATCCTCATATATTTAGAAATGACAAATAATGTTAAAAAGAAGATGAAAACCAAATAATATGTATTTATGAAGTCTTATAATTGCAACAATTTATTTTTGCAAAGTAAATATACTAAATGACTATTAAATACAGTCATCAAGTATTTGAAGCTAATGATAATGTAAGAAAACAAGATAAAGAGAAGGTATAATAAATTAGCGTGTAATTTGCTTAATTGTCTAGGTGAATATACACAGGTTTTAGAGAGGTTTATTATTATTTAACTGTTTTGTAATACTTGGCCAAATTTATAGTTTTACATTTAAAAAAGGACCACTTATATGTACTTGGAAATGATACTTTTTCTGTAGATATAGATTAAAAAGAAATATACATAACTATACATATGAGAGAACTAAAGTAATAGTTATATATATATATTAAAGTGCAATAAGCATTACACGATGTGTGTTAAAAAAAAAAACTATAAGCAGTAACAATAAATCTAAATATCGTTGACGTAATATTTAATAAGAAGAATAATATATATGTAGGTAAATTTAAAAAAAAGGATATAGTTGATATTTTGTTGAATTAAAGATAAATAAAAACAATACCAATGCCAAAAATATAAAAGCATATTGTCGAGCAGAAGTTTAAAATAGAAACGGGGGTAAGCGGAAATGCTTACGTACCTGATAAAAAGATTTAATACAAGAAAAAATGATGCATAGCAATTAGATAAATTTTCTATAATATTTCGATATTGGAAATACCTCAGACACTTGTACTTCCAATCTACACAATGTGATATCAGTGTGCTAAGTGATTTAAAGTTCAAGTCTATTTAAAGGAAGGTTTCGGTGGGTATTAAAATATTGAATATGTTTGTTTCTCTCTATCTTAGCATAAAATAAAATTAAATATGTACATACATACATTTCTAATCTGCTCAATGAAATTATAATTAGAAAATAGAATAAAATATTTGTATGTATGATGAGATTGAGATTGATTGTTTCTTTAAAATACAATACATTGTTAACGGATGTCGGAAATTTTAAAAGTTAAAAATATATTTGTCCCTTTAAGACAAAATTAAAGATACGATATGTGTATAAAACATTTTAGAAAGAAGAACAAACAAATAATAGAAATATTATAATCTTATGAGACTTCATATCAAAATAAAATAATATTTCAGTATGTAAAACTAGTTAAAAATAATAGACTATGAAAGGGAAAAAAAAAAAACAAAAAAAAATAAAATTTAGAAATATACTTAAATATATTATTTAATATATATGCATTGATGTTAAAATACCATCAATATTTTCCTTATCCACGAATATATATACACGTTCAAGTATAATATTGAACTTGTATCCAAACAACTGATTATTCGATTTTTCTTGTTGAAAGATTGCATTGATTCGAAGTATTAATATTTTATTTAGATGATGACACTTATTATTCCTAATATTAAATATTTCAAATATTTATTAAAGTGAAATCTTTCAATAAAACATTTTCTTTATTATCTTTCTTTCCATTTATCTCGAAATTAATATACTGAAAACAATATCTTTAAAATTAGTTTTGATGCATGTGAAAATTAAATGTTTATGTACACAATGTATTTGAAGAAGGGCCAAATATAATATTAAATTTTGCTTTTACTCGTATTCAAGATTTTTATTGTCACTGCTATTTAAAAAAAAAATCATGTTTAGATGTATTCATATAAGTGACGCATGTGATGTTACTTTCGTTTGTTTTAGATCGGAGACAATGGCTGGCCATTGCAGTGTTGAGCGCTATATTGGTATTAATAATCTTTTTGTTTATAATAACATGAATTTCTTAGTTTTATATTTCCTGTACAAACGATTGGTTCTTCTTCATATATAGGATTCAATATAGATTAGAATTAAAAAGAGTTTAATTTCTTTTATTTTCTTGTTTTCTTTTTGTTTCTCCTTTTTGTTGCATATATTTTTAACGAGTATATTTTATGATGATATATACATATATTACATATATATATAAAATAAAAGCATACTTACATTAGAGACATACACAACAATTTTTCAAAGTTTCCTTCCCTCAGAATTTTAATGGTGAATTTGTTTTTAATTTTTTTTTTTTTTTTTTATCGAAATGCAATAACAAACGGATATAATTGATAAATTAAAATGTTCTTTATTCAGATTTTAGATTTTCATCGTTACGTTAATTAATATTATATATATTTGTATACTAATTGGCAATTATATAAAATTTCTTTTACTATATACTACTTTTTTTTTTATGCATTGAAAAAATAAGTTGTATATAGTTGTGATATGTATATTCAATTTTGAAAATTATATATTATTATATCGATATGTGCTTTTGTTTTAAAATAAAATAAAATAAAATAAAACGTAATGCCAAATTCATAACAAAAAAAAATTAATATAAGAAAATATTCGATAACGATAGATTAAACTCAGCATAAATTTCGATTTAACATCTTAGCATTTAATTTTCCTAATAATTTGAGATAAATTTTATAATGTAAGACTACGAATAGATTATACTTTGTATATAAAATTGATAACGATTTATGTTAATGTATATAATGAAGTTATATAAAATTAAAAAAGATTTGAAGATCCTAGTTGGACATATTGTATAAACTATAAAGAAATCTTTGGTGTAATGTTTATTATTGCAATCATTTGCTTTTAGCGATAGCAAATATGTATTAACAAATAATAATAAAAAGAAGTAATGGAAAAACTTTCTCTTAAAAAAAAAATAATCGCATATTAAATAAAATTATATTATACGACTTTAATAGCTCGTAGATATCATAAGTGTGCAATATATTAAAAGTATTATGCGTTGTCACATAATATTATATGACATTTCACATTGAATCTATTTTTTTATTCATTATGCTACACTTATGTGAATTTAATTAAGGCACCTTTTTGACGTATATGAAAGCTTGAAAGTTGTTCGTTTAGAGAATATCTAGACAATACGATAACTCTTTATCATATATATTCCTCAAAACAGAATTTCTCAAAGTGTAGGTTTGTGACCCTGTACGGGGTTGCGCAAAAAAATTTGGAAGTTGCAGAAATTTGAGCAAAATTAAAAAATTCTTTCCCTCAGAATTGCAATAATCAAAAATTAATTCAAAACCATTTTGGAAACACTAAATACATAATATGTCTGTGAGTTTATGATAGTATAGAATATTTATTCAGCTAAAAGAGGTCGTCACGTGGAAAAGTTTGAGAAATCCTGTTGTAGAATAATCAAATTCAGGAATTGTTTGTATACTCAAATAGTGCCTCTTCAAGTATATATTACATACTTACTTATGGCTCTAAACGTACACGTTTGTAACAATTTGTAGGCAAAGCTTTTCTTATGTCATCAATATTTTCAACTTCTATTCTTAATCTACTGACTTCGTCTTCATAATTTTTAACCCATTGGGTTTGCGTATTCTTTGCATCAGTTAATAACCTAATTCTCTGATCTAAATTAGCAGCTTTTATTTCTTTCTCTGCCGCTGCTAAACGTTCTTCCAAATTATTTAAACTATTATCATCTGTGTAAGAAAGTTTTTTGATTAATTATTAAAGTTCGTATATTATAAAATTATAACTTATGCATATATACCTATTTCAGGAAGATCTTGAAGCTCTTTCATGATTTCGGCTATGTCTGACAATGCTTTGTCGACATACGTTGAAGTTAAACCTACTTTGTTTTTGGCTTGTCCAACTTTGTGATTAGCCTAAAAAATAATTTTATATTTATTTATAATATTAGTTTCTTTACTATTATATTTATATTATAATTATTATATATATATATATATATTAATTATTTTAATCGTCACCTCTGTAGTAATATTCGAATCTTTTCCAATTTGAATTTCATAATTTTTCATTAGAGAATCTGTAGTATTAACTCTGAGATGTAATGTTTCTGCTTCTTTGCCTAAACGCAATGCATCTAATTTAATTGCATTTGCTTGTGTTCTAATATTGTCAGCATTTTCGCTAGCTTTTTCTGCATACGTCTAAGATAAAATGACATAAACCAAACAAATAAATTTCATTTTCCCATTTGTTGTAGGAATATCATAAAAATGATTAATTCTAAGTTTACCTGTGCATTTTGTGCTTTTTGGTGCGCATTTATCGCATTATTTTCAGATCCTTTTAATACATCCTCAAGTTGGTTTATTTTTTCTATCGCAACTTTAATCATTTTCTCAATTTCTTCAGTGCTCTTCAATGCATCTTGAGCTTTTATACGTTCGCGTTGCACCTCGTCGTCAAATTCTAAATAAAATAGTTAGTTTCTATATTTGATGTTTGTAATGTTTTATGATATAATGTTTTATATTTAACCCTATTTGATGTAAAATATAATCAAGAGTTACGGCACTTTACCTCCTAATTTTTTTAAAGTCTCTTGCGCTTCTTTTAACGTTTGATCACCGCGTTCGACAGCATCATTTGCTTTTTCGTTAGCACCGTCCAATTCTGCTAGTAATTCTGCAGTAGCTGCTTGTTGATCTTGTGCTTTATCTAACAATTGTTCGCTCTTTCGTACTTTGTCAGTCATTTCTTTAATATAATCCTCATTTTGTTGTAATATTAATTGCGCTTGTTCTTTTAACCGTAATCCCTGTTAAAAAATAAGACAATAAAATTGATATACAAATTTTAATGCAACGAATATAAATAAATAAAGGAAAATACTTACTTCGTTGTTAACAATATCAACTTGTTTTTGAAGCGAGTCAACATCAACGGAAGGAAGAGAAAAATATAACACAGATAAACCTAATGCTTCCTGAGAAACTGCAGATGATTTAGCGTTTGCAACTGCTGTAAGATTCTTTACTTCGTTCATACGATCTTCCAACATATCTAATTTGTTTTCTAATTCTCTTAAAACATCCCTGATATATAATAGAAAATTAGAATTTCATATTACTTTCATTATTCAACGTTTTGTATCTATGAAATATAAAAAGAAATTTAAGAAACAATACATACGTCATGTTGGAATTTTTAGCTATCGCTTTTTTGGCAAGATTATAAGCTTCCAAGGATGTATTTCGAGCTTGCTCGGCCAGCATATGAATTTTCTTAGCTTCGTTGGTATTACTGTATAAAAATTAATATTACTAATATTTTTAATCATCTATATTATGCACATAGATTGTTCTTTTTTCATAGATATGAGATGAAAGAAATGTTCTACATACAAATCGGCTAGGATACGTGCTTCGTGTGCAATGTCTGTCATTTGTTGATTCTGTTGACCAACTTGATCGGCACGTAATTTAGCTTCTGTTAACGCCGTTGCTCCGTCTGTAGCTAAATAATCTTCTGCTTCCTATTATTATTGTTATTAATATATATATATATGTTTAATACAAATTTATTTATAATATTGAAGTATGAATATTTCTTTAACTTACAGTTAACTGATCATGTATTTTATCTAATACAATCTCCGCTGTATTAACATTTGTCGATCCTTCAGTAGCAGTCTTATGCGTTTCAGCAACTGTTAAATTAACTGCTTGCGAAATAAGACCTATTTCAGTTAATTGGCTATGCAATTCATCTAGTTGCTCGGAGAGTGTTTTGTTTCCACCTTAAATATCAAAATTTTAGTATTGTTGTGAGAAAATAATATATTTATATAGATTTATAAATTGCTATTTACTTCCAGATTCTTGTTTGGCGATGTTCAACAAATGCTTCACTTTGTTCTGAACATTTTTCAATTCATTTTCAAATTCTGAATCTTTTATGACGGTCGGGCTACTATTAATCTTTTTAAGGGTATTTTCTAATTCCGATAAACGTTGTCTATGTCTATCGACAGCAGATTTAACTAGATTATAACAATCAGGACAATCGACGCAACCATTTTGTCTGTTGTATTTATTTTCCTTACACCGATCGCAACGTCTTCCTTCTACGTTTGTAAGGCACTGCGATAAACATAAAAAATATACATATGATTAATTAAAATAAAAGGATTATTATAAATAAAATTTGTATATACGTGTAAACTTACGGGACATTGTCCACTGGCATCACACTGAAGATCTTGTGATCCAATTCTGTCGCAATCGCAAGGTTTACAGCCTTCCCTGCTAAAACCAAACTGATATGGTAAACAAGTATCGCAACGTTGGCCAGTTATTCCAGGTCTACATTGGCATTGACCACTAACAGCATTACAAGTTCGATTATAAGATCCCTCTGAATCGCAATTGCAAGGTGTACATCCCTAAAATATTTATATGAACATGACCTAAACTATTTCATAATTTTGTGTATGTTGTCTATCATCTTATTTAATTATGCATCTACCTCGCCACTCAATATATGATAATATCCGTCCTCGCATTTATCACAATTACGTCCTATTACATGAGGCTTACAGAGACAATGACCTACAAGTTGATCGCAAGGAGCAACTCTTCCATCTTCGAGTTCAACTGTACCTGGTGGATAACACTGACACAATTTGCATCCATCTTCTCTATTATCAGACAAAGCATCTCCATAATAACCTGATGGAATGATTTATTAATGCTCATGAGAAACGTCATAATTAATTATCAAAATATTGTAAAATTTATTACAAATTATTTTTTTAATATACCCGAAAGACATTCTTCGCAATGGAAGCCAGCAGTGTTATTGACACACTTCAAACATTCTCCAGTTTCATGATTACAATTTCTTACTGCATTTAAATCAATGTTATTATTACAATCACAAGGTCGACAAGCTATTCCTTTCTCGGGATTACCAAAGTAACCATCTGAACAAGTTTCACATCTTGGCCCTAAAAATAAAATCCAAATAATATCTCGTAACTTTGGTATACGAAGTAAATATGCGCGCATGTGATAATATAATAATGGAAAAATATTTCTTTACCTGTTCTTCCTATTGGACATTCAGAACAAATCGGATCGGGATTATTACCAAGAAGAATGCAAGGACCGTTATCAGGACACGGGCATGGCTTGCAATCGTTAGGAGTGCCTTTTAAGGGATACCCATAATATCCACGACTACACAACTCACAATTACTTCCAGCAGTATTATGTGTACAAATACATTCACCTGTTATATATTAAACCAAAAGATATATAAATAATTTGATAGATATACACCAAGTTCAATTCATATTACACAATATCTACTAACCCGTTTCGGCTTCGCAAATATCTGCATGCCCGTTACAATTACATGGAACGCAAAGAGCGAATGGACCACCGTTTGGTGGGTCATGATGAAAACCGGGTGCGCAAGATTCGCAAAATTGTCCTACGTAACCGTGAGGACAATTACAGTGCTCAACCCAATCAGCAGATTCGCCGGCAGCACCGCGAAGTGCGGTTTCCAACTTAACGTCGTCGAGGAAACCTCTACCTAATACACGATAAATATGATTTAAAAATAATTCCTTGAAAAATATTTCTTATTACTGAAAACAAAACTTTACCTTGATGCGTGTAAGTTCCACGTATTTTTATAGCGGTCAAGTTGGAGAGAATTGACATGAACGCTTTGGCAGATAATCTTGGTTGCCAGCCATACTCGCTGTGCTCGTGTAATCTGAATCTATATTCTTGTGCCTATACAAAATATTAATTACATTAAATCCAAACGTACGTACGTACGTACATAAGAATACGAATTAATTTAAAACATTGTCAGTTTTCTTTACCGTGACTGTTGGCATACGATTTTTTTGACCGAATATCGGTTGCGTTATTTGTTCACCGTTTCCACCTTCTAATATTACGTCGTGTGCAGTTGGGGCAGGGCCTGCCTCTCCTATCCTTAAAGAGAACGATAAATCTTGATTGTACGACGCTCTTTGATCTCCGAGAAATCTGTCTGTAAATGATAACAAAACAAATCAATAATCCTTATCTTCTATTTCAAAAAGACTCCATTGAAAATAGATAGATAAATTACCAGGTGCAATGAAGTAAACATTGTCACGATCTAACGCAGTTGCGTAAATCGTTTGTGTTAAAGGATCATAATGAACGGGTATTGGGTTTCCTGCTACGGTAGCTGACCAACGTTCGTTTCCTCTGACAAACATACTCTCAATAACGACTTTCGAGTAACCAGCAGCAGGCATACATATGGACGAATGACCATAACAGAAACATGGAGTACAACCAAATTCATTTTCCAGAGCTAGATTAAAGAAACCTGGTCGACATCTGTTTAACAACGTACAATCAATAATTTTAACGAATGAGATATATCAACGAATATCATGATAATAAAAAAGAAACAATGATAAATAATTTTTCTTAAACAATAATACTAACTCTCGACAACGTTTTCCTTCAACATTTTCTTTGCATACGCAAACTCCAGTAGATGGGTCACAGTTAGGTGTATTTGCTTGCGAACCTGGTACATTACATTCGCAAGATGTACAACCAAGGGATCCAAAATTGTAGAAATTAGCGGCACAACGATCGCACTTATCGCCTGTTACACCTGGCTTGCATTGACATTTACCTTCGCTGTTACATTGTAAACTTCTCGAACCTAAATCAATTGCATTTTCATTTTTAATTTGATTTACCGTTATATAATCATTGTTACTGTTTACAACACATTTTGTTTTTAATTTTATATTGAAATTTTTCTATTTAAAAATAATTATTTCAATTTTTACCGATTTCGTTGCAGTTGCAAGCTATGCAGTAATTATCTTCCGGACGTTGATAAAAATTTTCCCGACATCTTTCGCAGTTAGCACCATCTCGGTTAGCTCTGCAGTCTAAACAATGACCGCCGTGACCGGTTACCTTATACAACTCTTTGTCAAAATAACACCTCTCGGAATATCCGTTACAGTTGCAAGCTAAAATCAACACACGTAAAATGAAGTCAGGTTATTTAGATCTTTTATAAATTTAATTGAAAATCTTACTGTACACCGGGTACCACGGAAATATTCCATCCCAACGTGATGCCATACACACCGTTAAAGTGTTTATTATCAATACCACCGATACTACAATCACCTTCATCGTTAATATAATTTTTGAATTTATTTATTTTTAAATCATTTGTTCTTCCAGTTTGTTCATTTTTATAGAATGAAATGTTAACGATAAAAAACAATTAAATGAAACAATTAAATGAAACAAAGAAATGCAAGAAAGCAAATATCTTTCAGCAAGTATTGTGACGTATCGTATAATACTGAATCTTACTGAACAGGAAGAAACTACATTATATGCTCTTACACTGTGCACAATATCCCCCACTTGAATGCACCTAACAGACGTAAAAGGTAAAGTCAGTTGTGTAATGTCAAGCCGATCGTGAAGGTATATACGCTGTTCTTTCTCTCGAGAATTCAACTAGAAGAAACATACGATCTTCTTTTCACCTTTCTATTATTTTCATTAAACTAATGCTCGTTTATCTCTACACGATATAATTAATTATAAAATAAATTACAAATTTATATTAAAAAAATAGTAATATCAAATGCTTACGTTTACATTCGTGAGCGTCAGTAGTCGTAGCACGACCCCAAGGTGCATCGTTATAAAATGGTAAACATTCGTTACAATCTGGACCAGCGGTGTTATGCTCGCATCTAGAAACATAATGATATTTAACAAAACATTCGTTTGAAAGTAATTCGAATGAAAATTAAATATGCATTTATAATTGGCATTACCTACAAACTCTTCGTGTTCTACCATCAACGCTTGTACTGTTAACACATTGTCCAGCATGACCATTGCAAGCACAACGTGCACCAACTGCAACATCGGCAATCGCATAATAATAAGATTTTAAAACCTGATCATCACCGAACATCTCATCACCGAACGTGTTTAATCTATCCAAGATGATTCTTATATCAGTCGCTTGTACCCATTCCTAATAAAACGAACATTTTCAAGATTATTTTGCATTTCTTTTTTTTTTTTTAATTTACACATGAATATTTATCTACTGTAAATTTAATATTGTTCTACCTGTAATGCTGGATTGGTTTCAAAATAATATGCCGAGGGACGTCCTTCCAAAGTAGAAAAAGCTACTGTCCCTTTCGATAAGGGCGAAATGTCTGAATACTCGGACGTACAAAGAACTCTCGTGTCGTCACCGCGTACAGTTTCTTTAGAATCTGGAAGTTCGTAAGTGTCTCTGCAAGTAGCCGAATAATATTGATAAGGCTGCCAAGGTGAGTTTTCGTTTTTCCTTTTATGTATACCCCAACTCTCTGGACGTGGTGATTCAAACAGTACTCTAACGTATGTTATATCGAACGTTTTACCTTAAAATTCAAAAATGAATCATTATTTTTATTATAATTTAAGGCTCCATTTACAACAAATAAAATAATACATATAAATAAATAAATAATATTTAATAATCGTACGGATAATTTTAATTCTTTTTTATAAAGTCTTAAATATTAAAAATGCAATTAAAAAAAAATAAATAAACAAATATAAATAGCAATAGTTTGAAATTAAATAGACAATTTAAATATTTGTTATAATTTTTAATATCACATGCAATTCAATACTAAGAGAATCGAAATGTAGAACCCTACAAAATACTTCATACAACATCCGTTATTTTACAGATTCCACCCACGCAAAAGAGACGCTATTTCCTTGTACGATCAACTCTCCCATACCTCTAAAGTATTTTCAAACAACGTTTAAAAATAATAAATTGTAATGATTTATTATAATATAAATCCTTTCCTTGAGGAAACTTTTAATCAAATAAAATGATATATAAAACAATGAAATAATAATGATACCTAATGGTAGAGTCAAGATAACTTGATTAGGATATTCGATGCCCTCGAACATAGTCTCCGATTGCCACCAAGTCGCATTGTCGTTATTATCATGATCGGTAAGAAAAGAAGCTGGATGATCACCGTATCGACAAATCTCGCAATAGTGCCTTTGAATTCCAGTTTGCTTGCAAAATTCAGTTGGTCGTTCCTCTCCGCACGTGTTCGTTACTTCCATTTGCACGTTGAATGCAGCGTTTTCGAAGGGTGGTATACATCTCTATAAAAAAAAAAAAAAAAAAAAAAAAAAAAAATTTAAAAAAAAAAAAAAAAAAATTTGATAACAATTTTCCTTACCAAATAA